CTTGTCCTGGTGATGGAAATGTACTGTAGGCTTAAATTATTACATAATGTAAACAGTATTGTTTGGAAGAGGAATTACCTTCCATTATGACATCGGGTACTGTCCGTTCTGGCAATTGATGTCCCGCTGTTTCATCGGCAACTTTAGATTCACCAGGACTCGTTTTGTGTATAGAAAACCTGCTTGTTTTGCACAAGTGAATCTCTTTCTTTAATCTGAGCACTTGGAACCAGTGAATAGTTTTCCTCTGTAATGACAGTTCTGCTATTGCTTCCGCTTCATGTTTGTTGTGAGGCTGGAGTAGCTGCTGTTATGTGAGCCGGCTAAGTTGGGCGAGCGGCTAGAGGGCGCTAGAGACTGTTTTACTTAAGAAATATTTTAAATATACTGATTATTATTATAATCATTATTTGCAACACTAAAGGAGACAAAGTCGTAAAGAAAGACAATATGGCCTTTGAGCTGAAATACTATAGAAAGATTCCCAGAATATCTTGGACACAAAAAAGGAGAAATTCTGACATCTTGAAAGATCTGAACATCAAGGAAGATTGGCTAATAAACAGCATCCTGTCTCAGACGCTGAAATATTTTGGTCATTTCAAGCGCCACGACGGATTGGAAACAATTATAACATAATATTTGGTACCAGGAAGGAGGGGCAGGACTGACCAATACGAAGATGGGCACAGAATATATATGGGTTAGAATCGGTCATGACATATTCATTACTATTTTGTATCTGTCAAGGTTAGTCTCATAGAACAACATCTCCGCTGCGCCTAAATATTGTTATACTAATCATCCGATTGTCTATAATTCATTTCAATACATCAGAACAGGATTTATATGTCTTAATAATTCTGCTTCTGGTTTCAATTGGCAAAGAAAGATTTTAGGGGGGTGAGCCAGTTCTGGTCCCGTCTGCACCAAGCTTAGGTTCAGCAGCTGAGCAGCCCCGGCAGTGGACTCTAAGGGTTGTGGTTCGCCCAGGTTCGCTGCAGCTGCTGTCCCGCATTTAGGGACCACTTGTGAACATTAATTACCAGCATGGCACAGTCAAACATGAATGCACACATTCAACAGTCAGAAGGAATCATTAATGTGCGCGTATGTATGCGCATGTGTGTGTGTGTGTATGTATGTATGTATATATATATATATATATATATATATATATATATATATATATATATATATATATATATATATATGTGTGTGAGTGTGTGTGTGTGTGTGTGTGTGTGTGTCGATCGTTTACACAAAGAGCTCAATCACAGCAATTGTTACTATTCTTTCGCAAACATCTCCCCATTCTTTCTTTCTTCTAACCTTTTTTTTTCTTTTCTTCCCTCCTCTGTTCTTTCCTTCATTCTGTCCTTCTTTCCTTTCTTTCTTCTCTCCATTCATCCCTTCCAGTCGCCCTTTTTTTTTTCATTCCTTTCTTTCTTTTATCGCTTTTTTAACGTTGTGATTTCTTTTCTTCCTTCCATTTCTTTCATTTTCTTCCTCTTCGTTTTTTCTTTCTTTCCTTTGTTCCCCCCTTTCCTTTTTTATTACTTCTTTCTTTTCTTCCTTTTTCCCTTCCTTCCTCTTTTTGATCTTTTCCTCCTTCTTTTCTTCCTTTATCCTCCTCTCTTCCTTTATTTATTATTGCTTTTCCTGTCCTCCCTTTCTTAGTTTTCCCCCAACCCTTTTAATTATCTATATTTCTCACAATCTGCGGTTCTTCTTTCTTTCTGTATTTCTTCCATTCTTTATTTCTATCTTCTTTCTTTTTTCTCTCTCTTTCTTTCTTTCTTTCTTTCTTTCTTTCTTTCTTTCTTTCTTTCTATTTATCCACATTCTTCTTCACAAGAAGTTAATTATATGAAAACTAACGGGATATGACCGTTTTAGAACCTGTATGACAGTTTTAGAACATATATGAACGTTTTAGAACATATATGAACGTTTTGGAAGGTAAATGGATGTTTGAGAACGCATATGATCCTTTTAGAACCTATACGATCGTGTTAGAACGTATATGAACGTTTTAGAACCTATCTGAACGTTTTAGAACGCATATGATCGTTTTAGAACAAATATGACAAAGAAGTCGCAAGTTAGATGTTGTACTCAAGCACACACTTGTTGGACCTGATAAGTAAAACGGTAGTTCACCCATCGCACAGGTCCAAGTGTCACAACAGTGTCCACACCATGTCTCTTGACTTATGGTACATGGTGCTATGTAGCGGAGAAGGGCCAGATCTGAACACATTTATTACTGTCTGCACTTTAAGGGACAATTCAAAGAACATGCAGAACAATCTCAGATCCTTATCTGATGTGATCTAGCATTTATATTTAAGCTATAGGTTTGTCACTCATTGTTTTGTATTATTAGTTTACACTCACGCTAACAATTGTGATATATGAATATTACATGCTCTACATTTAAAACACAGTTGCCGTGTTTAGTATGAGTGTTTGAAAAGTCGACTGTGAGGCTAGTCTACCTGCCCAGTCTGTTAAACTTTGGGCAAAAATGTCACTGGTTTGTTTCGTTTGTGTACCAAACTTTACTTCTTCTTCTTATTCTTTGTTCACTGGTTGTAAGCTCCGGCGGAAATTCCTGGTTGTTCGTCCATTTAGAGTTTGCCTTTGTGCTAGGGTCTGAGCTTTGCGTGCACATCAGGTTTCCTGAGTTTCTTGCCGCTCTGGTAGATGCACTCTGACTTCGGCCGAAGATCTAAAATTAGTCGACTCATACGACATGCTTGTAGTGGACGCAGTTGGTTTATTCTTGTTGTCCCCATAATGGGTCCCCGGAACCCTCACAGGGAACAACCATTACAGAAAAGTGAACACAGATTGCTGTTCTAACCAGCCAGCATACTAACCCCTGTGCCAATGTATGTGGTCTGTATGTGCATCACAAATCTGCTGCTTGCCATGCCGGTTAGATGACCGAATTCCGGTTTTCTGGTCTAGTAATCACAGAACCAGCTTCCTGGTTCACTTGTGACATCTGGCAATCTTTCAAATAAATCGAACAAAAAGAAATGGAAATTGAACCTAGTAGTATGGTAATTTGAGGGGACTTCTCTGACAATAACACTCATCGTTTAGTAATTATTTACTTTACCCTCATTTATAACTTCAGCTGACGACTTTGATCACATAAGCCCCTAATTGATATCATCATTCAAACACACCTGTAGATGTGGAGGTATCCACGAAGAAATAATTGATAGAAGGTAAAAGAAACAACTCTCAAACGTCTCCATTAAATATTCAATTTTCCGGTATCAGGATGTGTTAATTACGCACACAATGGCAATGAAATTTGAAGTAACAATTTCAATAAGTCAATTAACAAAACGATGTAACACCAGACGCCTGTAGGTGCAGATCGTAAACAAATAGTGCGACGGGCGCCAGATTGTACCCTAACAGGAACTGTATATAAGCAGATGAGAAACCAAGTCTGGATTCACTGAGGCATTTCTTGTCCAGAGATCTTCACACTTACTTGAACTCGCCACAGACATTTGTGAGTATTGTACAGTGTCTTATATGTCTGCAGGCATTCGTTATGTAGCCTTTTTTCTTCATCGCATTTGCTGGTACTTTTTTGTTGTTTTATAATATTACCTTTCACAGTGTGACATCTTTGTTTGTTGTTAATTTCTCTAAGGCAGACGATAAAAATGTTTATGAATATGTTAATTTTTTTTAATTTTCAGTTCGTATTTCTAAAACAGTTGACATTATGGAATATTTTATGAGTATTTTTGTAACAAAATTGCCCTTAAGAAATAAAGATATATTGCAATTGTATTATATATTTGAGGTATTTTCCTCTCTGAAGTAAGCAAAACACCCGAGGTGTTGATACAAGAAAACGTTCACAATTTACTCGATGGTTTCTTTGACTGGAGAGACAATTACATGTACAATTTAAATAGACGAATAAAACAACAACAACTGCAACAACAACAAAAACAGCAATAATGACGTCGGTGTATGTCCAGATCTGTCATTGTAGTTGCTGCACCCCCTGTGTGGCCTGCGACTCAGCTTACAGTCATTCATTTGTTCAGACATATGCTCTCGCGAGTCTTTTTAACCGCTCCAGCTCGTACATAAAATTACTGTGTCTGACTTGCTTGTTCATTTTCCTTTAGACGTTGTGTTATTATGTTCACTACATCAAACTTAGTCGGTGTCTGTGGCTTAGGCGTTGAGAACGCGCTTCGTAATGCCGGGTCCCTGGGTTTGATCCCAGCTGCGGAAAGTTTGTCTTGCCTTAGTTCGGACAATAGTACCGAGATTTTAACGTCCAGAGAGTAATGGCAAACTACTGGACGCAAATTTTCCTAGAAAAACAACAATAGCCGAAAAATGCTGGGGTTGGTACTGCACTGTCTTTCTACCTTGGGGGTGTCACGTTGTCTTCCCTCCGGTTGCCTCAGCAACGATGTCGCGTGTCCTGTATTACAAGACGACACAGCTTTCAGTGACCCTAGAATATCTAAAACTGGCCCTAACCCAAACCCCCTACCCAAAAGCCTCAACCTGGGTCACAAGAGAGATTCCTCTCGAAGAATGCAGTACAAGGTGACACCTCTCTCACCTAGATCACACTGAAAAAGTGTGTAGATCGGCCGGGATATGTGAACAGGTCCAACATAATTACTGGATTGTAGGGAAGACGTTAATGAAATGGTTACTGTCTAACCACCAATATTGTTGTGACTACGTTGTGTGGTTACTGTCTAACCACCACTATTGTTGTGACTACGTTGTGTGGTTACTATTCTACCACCAATATTGTTGTGAGTACGTTGTGTGGTTACTATCCTACCACCACTATTGTTGTGACTACGTTGTGTGTTTACTATCCTACCACCACTATTATTGTGACTACGTTGTGTGGGTTCAGTCCCAAAACTATCATTGTTTGTAAATACGTTGTTTAATCAACTGGCCGCGTTGTTTTGACTGAGTTGCAGAACGTGATCAACAGAAAGATGCAAGCACCATCTGCTGTCTCCGCTCTGCTGGCTTTTGTGATTTTTGCAGGTATGTCATATGACGGTCATAGTCTCACCTACACATGAGAACGTGTCTCTTACATCAGATCCACTAACACTCTCGTACGTAACTCTTACATCAGTCTCACTTACACTCTCGTACATAACTCTTACACCAGACTTACTTAAAGGTAAAGGTAAAGTCGAGAGAAATGAATCAGCGTCACTGCACACTGTTTTAAGCCATAAGTGCTTTGCCACCAGTACGGACAACTGATAAGAAACTGTCCGTCTGTGTTGTCGTCCCCACGCAACCCCGTAGCTACAGCGATGTTCATGCATTTACCCCAGAATGTTAACTATGATACCCATTACATAGAGGCTGGGCGAACCCCGGAAACCGCCCAGTTTCAGACTTACTTACACCTAAGTACGTGCCTCTTACATCAGTCCTAATTACATCCGCGTACGTGTCTTACATCAGTCTCTCCTACACTCGGGTACATGTCTCTTAGATCAGTCTCACTTACACCCGCGTAAGTGTCTCTTAAAGCAGACTTTCTTACACCCAAGTATGTTTCTCTTACATTAGTCTCACTTACACCTGAGTACGTGTCTCTTACATAAGGCTCACGTAACCCGAGTAAGTGTCTCTTACATCAGTTTCACTTACACCAGAGTATGTGTCTGTTACATCAGTCTCACTTACACCAGAGTGTGTCTCTTACATCAGTCTTACTTACACCAGAGCATGTTTCCCTTACATCAGTCTTACTTACTCTTACACCAGGACAGCTAACTCGACAGTATGTGAAAAGAATGCGTCAGGAATGGCTCATCTTTATGCGACCACTGGTAGCAGGCATTTTAAACTTTCTGACACTTAGTTTGACAGTTTACTGTCAGGCATCTGACCCTCGTCTTTTACACTGTAGGACATTCGATCGCCGGACATCTGACCCTCGTCTTTTACACTGTAGGACATTCGATCGCCGGACATCTGACCCTCGTCTTTTACACTGTAGGACATTCGATCGCCGGACATCTGACCCTCGTCTGTTACACTGTAGGACATTCAATCGCTGGACATCTGACCCTCGTCTTTTACAATGTAGGACATTCAATCGCTGGACATCTGACCCTCGTCTTTTACAATGTAGGACATTCGATCGCCGGACATCTGAAACTTTGCTGTTACACACTAAGAAATTCAATCGCCGGACATCTGGAACTTTGCTGGAGACATCACAAGAGCCCTAACTGTCCCTCACGCCTCTCACCGAGGTCACAACGCTTTATAATAAGGCTAATAAATGCAACAATAATACTCATGTATTATCTGGAACAGTGGCATTTGGCCTAAAGCTAGGAAAAGAACAGTCTATATCCCTCTCCCAAAGAAAGGAAATCCAAAACTATGCTCCAACTACCGTACCATCGCATTAATAAGTCATGCTAGCAAAATCCTCTTACGAATTATCATGAAAAGGATTGAAAGGAAATTACAATATGAACTAGATGAAGCACAAGCGGGTTTCAGACAGGGTAGAGGAACTAGGGATCACATATTTAATATGAGAATAATTTTTGAAAAATGCAGAGAATACAATGTAGATCTTCATGCTTGTTTTATTGATTATAGCAAAGCATTTGATTGTGTCCAGCACCACAAACTGTGGACTATTATGAAAAGTATGCGGTTTCCAGCGCAGTTAGTGCAATTAATTGAAAATCTTTATCATGAACAACAAGCAGCCATCAGAGCAGCTGATGAAACATCTGATTGGTTGGAGGTGCAAAAGGGGTGAGACAGGGGTGCATTTTCTCACCATACCTATTCAATATATACGCAGAAAATATAATGAGAAATGTCAAAAATGACCAGACTTGTGACAGTTATGATCCGCTCAAAATTGGCGGCAACCCTATTCCGGAACTCCGCTACGCAGATGACACAGGCTTCCTTTCGAACAGCGTAAAGGAAATAGAACATTTAATATTGTCTGTCCAAAAGCACAGTGAAGATCAAAATCTGTTCTTGAATTTAAAGAAAACGAAAATAATGTCCACAGATAAAACTGGCTGTCACCCAAAAATAACAATAAATGATGAAGAAATTGAAAATGTCACAAACTTTGAATATCTAGGCTCTATAATAAACAACAATGGAGACTGTTCGACAGAAATTAAAAGGAGGATGGCCATAGCAATGCAAAGATTAAACAGCCTTAAAAGTCTATGGTTAAGCACCAGCAAGGAGATAAAAATAAGAATTTTGAGAGTATGCATCTTCCCTGTGGCTACATACGGATGTGAGTCGTGGACTATCTCTCAGTCCTTAAGAAAGAGAATAGGGGCATTTGAGCTGAAATGCTATAGAAAGATTATCAGAATATCTTGGACAAAGAAGAGGAAAAATATCGACATCTTAAAAGATCTGAACATCAAGGAAAATTGGCTAATAAACGGCATCCTTTCTCGAAAGCTGAAATATTTTGGTCATATCAAGCGCCACGACGGATTGGAAAAAATTATAGCAGAAGGCATGGTACCAGGAAGGAGGGGCAGAGGCCGACCGACACGAAGATGGGCACAGGATATAAGTGACTCCTTGAGTGTGAAAGTTTATGAGGCGGAAGAACTGGCAAGAGACAGAGTTTCTTACAGGCAGACTGTGATGAGAGGGACGTTCTGCAAAGGACCTGCTACATGATGATGATGAATACTCATGTTGATGATAACGTTAACTAAAGTATAGTTAAATATATAAGACACAACAAATGTTAACTTAATTTTATGTTTACATTTCAGTGTTGGCAGCGCAAACAACTAAAGGTCAGTTGCTGTGTGACTAAATGTTCTTATCCTTGTGTAGTCGTAGTCATGGTAGCAATAGTAGCAGTAATAGTAGTAGTAGCAGTAGCAGTAATAGTAGTAGTAGCAGTAGCAGTAATAGTAGTAGTAGCAGTAGCAGTAATAGTAGTAGTAGCAGTAGCAGTAATAGTAGAAGTAGCAGTAGCAGTAATAGTAGTAGCAGCAGTAGCAGTAATAGTAGTAGTAGCAGTAGCAGTAATAGTAGTAGTAGCAGTAGCAGTAATAGTAGTAGTAGCAGTAGCAGTAATAGTAGTAGTAGCAGTAATAGTAGTAGTAGCAGTAGCAGTAATAGTAGTAGTAGCAGTAGCAGTAATAGTAGTAGTAGCAGTAGCAGTAATAGTAGTAGTAGCAGTAGCAGTAATAGTAGTAGCAGCAGTAGCAGTAATAGTAGTAGTAGCAGTAGCAGTAATAGTAGTAGCAGCAGTAGCAGTAATAGTAGTAGTAGCAGTAGCAGTAATAGTAGTAGTAGCAGTAGCAGTTATAGTAGTAGTAGCAGTAGCAGTAATAGTAGTAGTAGCAGTAGCAGTAATAGTAGTAGTAGCAGTAGCAGTAATAGTAGAAGCAGCAGTAGCAGTAATAGTAGCAGTAATAGTAGTAGTAGCAGTAGCAGTAATAGTAGTAGCAGCAGTAGCAGTAATAGTAGTAGTAGAAGCAGTAATAGTAGTAATAATAATGGCATCAGGCAGTCCCGGGGGAGTATGGAGATGTGCCGCTGGCTTTGGGAACAGCATCTGCTGTGACTGTAAAGTCTGATGCGGGAATGGCAGCCTTTGCCACACAGGATACACACAAAAGCAGATACTCCCTCGTTGTGAGAAAGTTTTACTCTCCGGTGTCTTTTCCACAGCTCGTTGTGTTCGGTTTCTTTCAAAATGTGACAGTCCGTCTTTCACTTTATGTCTCCATAGTAGTCGATCTGCAGCTGATTTTTCCCATGTCTCTGTGCCTATGTTGGTATCTATTAGGCCACGTTTGCATACATCTTTATAGCGCAGCTTTGACTTCCTGTAGGTCTATTCCCAGTTACCAATTCACCATATAGGAGATCTTTTTTTTGCTCTTGTGAGCACACATTCGTTGGAGACAAGGTCTCGCCATAATATACCAAGGATGCGTCTCAGACAGCGCATATGGAAGGTATTCAGTCTTTTTTCCTGTGGAGCATAGAGAGTCCAGGATTCGCAGCCGTACAGTAATGTGCTCAGGACACAAGACTCATAAACCTTCACTTTTGTATTATCAGTTAGCTTTTTGTTTGACCAGACTCTCTTTGTGAGATTTGCAAACATAGCAGAGGCCTTTCCTACACGTTTGTTTAGTTCTGCATCCAGAGAATGATTGCCTGAGATACGCGAGCCTAAGCAATAGTAGTAGTAGCAGTTTTAGTAGTAGTAGCAGTAGCAGTAATAGTAGTAGCAGCAGTAGCAGTAATAGTAGTAGTAGTAGCAGTAATAGTAGTAGTAGTAGTAGTAGAAGCAGTAATAGTAGAGTAGTAGCAGTAGCAGTAATAGTAGTAGTAGTAGTAGTAGTAGTAGTAGTAGTAGTAGAAGCAGTAATAGTAGTAGTAGAAGCAGTAATAGTAGTAGAAGCAGTAATAGTAGTAGTAGAAGCAGTAATGAATGAAATGTTCAAGGAAATGAAGTTATTGACAAGCAATTTTCAACCTCAGCTAAATGTTATTTGTGACAGGTTGGGAAATACTTTAACAGAATCTAGACAAATTCTAGGAAGATGGCAGGAATACTGCAGCGGAATGTATGATATGAATGACAGTGGGGATATGAATGATATACATGAACCAGTGACAGTAGAGGCAGAACCTGAACCTTCATTAGATGAAATTTCATGGGCAATAAGGAGCCTGAAAAATGGTAAATCACCTGGATGTGATGAGATACCAGCTGAATTGATTAAAGCGGGAGGAGAAGAAAGCATAAAAATCTATCATGCATTATGTGAAAAGATATGGAAATATGGTATTTGGCCAAAAGACTGGAAGAGAACTATCTTCATTCCAATACCAAAAAAGGGTGACCTGAAATTATGTACAAACTATCGAACTATTGCCCTGATCAGTCATGCAAGTAAAATTCTACTAAAAATTATAATGAGAAGACTGCATAAGAAAATGGAAGAAGAGATTAATGTAGCTCAGGCTGGATTTAGACAGGGAAGAGGAACAAGAGATCATATATTCAACATGCGTTTAATAATAGAGAAGTGTAGAGAATTTAATGTAAATCTGTTCTTATGTTTTGTGGATTATTCAAAAACATTTGACTGTGTACAACATCAGAAGCTTTGGGAAATCATGAGGAATATGTGCTTTCCATCACATATAGTGCAGCTCATTAAAATGCTCTATCAAGACCAACAAGCAGCAGTCAGAATAGATGGAGAGACATCAGACTGGTTTGGCATCAAGCAAGGAGTCCGTCAGGGATGTGTGCTGTCACCGTATTTGTTCAACCTGTACGCCGAAAATATATTGAGAAATGTAAGAGATGATATAAACAAGGAACAATATGATGCCCTAAACATCGGTGGTCATGAAATACAAGAAATTCGTTGTGCTGATGATACAGTATTACTATCAACATCACAAAATGGTTTAGAAAACTTATCAACCTCACTCCAAAGAAATAGTGAAAATCATAACCTATTTCTTAACATAGCAAAAACAAAGATAATGCATACAAACAAAACTGCCATGGAGAAGGAAATATATGTTAATGAGGAAAGATTGGAAGTGGTGGAAAATTTCGAATATCTTGGGTCACTGGTTACCAACAATGGTGACACGATGAAAGAAATTAAACGGCGATTATCAATTGCTCTTCAAAGACTAAAACAACTGAATAAATTATGGAATTGTACAGATAGAATTACAAAGGTCAGATTTTTAAGAGCATGCATCTTTCCCATTGCAACATACGCCTGTGAGACCTGGACACTTACTAAACAAGCAGAAAAAAAGCGCATAAATGCATTTGAATATAAATGTTACAGACAGGTTCTAAGAATATCTTGGGTAAAGAAAAGAACAAATGCATCCATACTTCAAGAGCTGAATATTGAAGAGGGTTGGCTAGTAAAGACAATAAAACAAAGAAAATTGAAATATTTTGGTCACTTGAAACGTCATGGAAGTCTAGAGAGAACAATAATGGAGGGGTATATGCCTGGGAAGAGAGGAAGAGGAAGGCCAAGGAGAAGATGGGTGCAGGATGTGGCAGATGATCTCCAGATGGGTGTATCAGACGCAGGACATCTTGCTCATGATAGGAAGGTTTTCCGGAGGGTTGTTATGGCAGCGAGGTTCCGCGAGGGACATGCTACTGAATGAATGAATGAGAAGCAGTAATAGTAGTAGTAGAAGCAGTAATAGTAGTAGTAGACGTAGCAGTAATAGTAGTAGTAGACGTAGCAGTAATAGTAGTAGTAGCAGTAATAGTAGTAGTAGCAGTAATAGTAGTAGTAGAAACAGTAATAGTAGTAGTAGCAGTAATAGTAGTAGTAGAAACAGTAATAGTAGTAGTAGAAACAGTAATAGTAGTAGTAGCAGTAATAGTAGTAGTAGCAGTAATAGTAGTAGTAGAAACAGTAATAGTAGTAGTAGCAGTAATAGTAGTAGTAGCAGTAGTAGCAGTAATAGTAGTAGTAGAAACAGTAATAGTTGTAGTAGCAGTAATAGTAGTAGTAGCAGTAGCAGCGGCAGCAACAGTAGGAGTAGTAGCAGCAGCACTAAAAACACTGACATCACAAACAGCAATAGTAGTAGCAGCAGCACTAAAAACACTAACATCACAAACAGCAATAGTAGCAGCAGCAGCACTAAAAACACTGACATCACAAACAGCAATAGTAGTAGCAGCAGCACTAAAAACACTAACATCACAAACAGCAATAGTAGTAGCAGCAGCACTAAAAACACTAACATCACAAACAGCAATAGTAGTAGCAGCAGCACTAAAAACACTAACATCACAAACAGCAATAGTAGTAGCAGCAGCACTAAAAACACTAACATCACAAACAGCAATAGTAGTAGCAGCAGCACTAAAAACACTGACATCACAAACAGCAATAGTAGTAGCAGCAGCCAAAAACACTAACATCACAAACAGCAATAGTAGTAGCAGCACCACTAAAAACACTGACATCACAAACAGCAATAGTAGTAGCAGCAGCACTAAAAACACTGACATCACAAACAGCAATAGTAGTAGCAGCAGCACTAAAAACACTAACATCACAAACAGCAATAGTAGTAGCAGCAGCACTAAAAACACTGACATCAAAAACAGCAATAGTAGTAGCAGCAGCACTAAAAACACTAACATCACAAACAGCAATAGTAGTAGCAGCACCACTAAAAACACTGACATCACAAACAGCAATAGTAGTAGCAGCAGCCAAAAACACTAACATCACAAACAGCAATAGTAGTAGCAGCACCACTAAAAACACTAACATCACAAACAGCAATAGTAGTAGCAGCAGCACTAAAAACACTTACATCACAAAGAGCAATAGTAGTAACTGCTGCTGTAGCTGCTACTGCTGCAGTTGTTGTTCCTGTTGTGTAACTCCCAGTTTTGGCACCCAACTTTGATATTTTTAAAAGTAAAGGAAATGAGATGAAAACCTCGTTAAACATGTTGAAAACAGAAGTAACCCTACTAATAAAACATCAGCCAACTTTGGGACCACTGAAATTAAACGTGTCAAAAAACAAATTCCAGTGCACCGAAAATTATGGCCACTGTTGCATAATGAAACCTACCATTATTAATGGAGTTTTTACCATTTAAAACTAAACTTACTAGGTTCATACTACATTGTTGTAATTTTTTTTGTCTATTTTGAAAACAATTACAGACCTTCAAATAAAAAAATAAAAAAAATGGGAGGATTTAAAAAAAATATATATAAATTATCATCATCATGTGCCTTGAGACTATGGTGATCGTGCCTTTATCCCTCCTTTCCTAGATCTTTCCAGTGGTCACAACATTTTCCATTTTCCCTGTTCTCATAACATTGCCGAAAATGATGACTGTCTCCTTTTGATGTCTGTGATAAGTTGTCTTCAGGTTCCCGTCTCTTTCAAAACCTCTTGGTTGCTCTTTTTGGCTGTCCAAGGTATTTTAAACATTATTCTGTAAAACAACATCTCTGAGGCCTGAAGAAATTGTTTGGTCTGCCTACCGATTGTCCAGGATTCACAGCCATATGTTAAAACTGGATGTATGTAGCAAGGTAGAATATTGTTTTCTAACCTTCAGTGACAGAGGTATATTGCATAAGATGTTCTTTATTTCATAAAATACAGTTTTTGCCTGTCATTTTTTGTTTCTCATCTCAGTAATGCATCTTCCATCTGATATCCATGTGCCCAATTAACTAAGTTTCTGTACCTGTCCCAAAATAGACACATTGACTTTTTTTTTTACACATTTAGGAATAATTCTTTTCTTTGATACCACCATTACTTCTGTCTTTCCATTATTCCAGCATGTGGCCCATTCTTCCACTTTCTACCACCACAATTTCTATTATTTCAAGGAGTTCTTTCTGACTTGTTGCTATCCACACCGTGTCATCAGCATAACGTTTCTTTTTTATTTTATGCTCACCAAACACAATTCCGGGCATATCAAGCAAAGAGCTCATTATATATTCACAGCACAAAGAAACAAATTCAGAAGAAATAGCCATACTATTTGCTCACAAATTCGACTGGGGTATTGACACTTCACATACAACAAAGAAACACTGTTAGATGTTATTTCTATGGGTGATAAACTATACGTTAGTTTAATGTCATGTTTGTCTTTGTACAGCCGACAACTGTACAGAAAAGTTGGTGGCCGACATCTACATCCTGTTAGACGGATCTAGCAGTATCAACTCCGTTGGCTGGGGACGGTGCAAGACGTTTGTCAGCAATCTGATTAAAGAGTTCCCAGTGGGACCGTTCAATGTCCAGTTTGCCATTGGGACATTCAGCACTGAATTCAAGCACCTTGCTGACCTCAACAAATTTTACGATAAAGATCAACTCTCCCAGGTAAAGATGTGTCCTTGGCTAGGCGATGTCTTGTTTTCATTAATGTCCTTTTCCTCTTCGTCGTCCTTTTTCTCCTTCTCTCTTCTCTATATTGTTCTTATATCTTGTCCTTTTTTATCCTCTCCCTGTTTCAGTCTTCTCTCTTTTTTCTCTTCTTTCTCTTTCCTTTCTCTTCTAATTTCTTTGCACCTTCCTCTTTCTCCTTTCTAGATGCCACGGTTCCATATTTTGAATTGTCGTCTCCTAGCCCAATGTCCACTGAATATTTTCAACATTTGTTTTGTGACTTTTTCGGAATGACATGAATGAAGGCTGGCCAATGAATTAAATGACTGTGGACTCTCAGAAATTTACCGAAGTGCTGACTATTTCAAAAAATAAATTTTTTTTGGGACCTAAAATGTTTTGAATGAATGATGATTATTAAAATGTTTTATACGACATCTGACTCTTATAATGATATGACTGATTAACCAGCTGCAAACAACTTTATCCTATTGTTTTTAACTCAAATTTTGACCCTTGAAATGATATGAATGATTGCTGACTTTTGAAAGCATATGAATGATTTTTGCCTCTCTGAAGTATTTGAATGATTGCCAACTCTTAGAATGATATGAATTATTGGTGCCTTTTAAAATGATACGAATGATTGCTAATTTTTTTTTATAATATGGTGATTGCTGAATCTTAGTATTATATAAGTGACTGCTGTATGTTGAATGATACCAATGCCTGCTGTATCCTATAATAATATGAAAGCGTATTGGCGTATCTAATGGCAGGTTGCCACTAAAGAATGTTCAGTTTGCTGGCTCATCTCATTGTCTGTGAACAATTGTAGAGTTTAGTATAGGACTTTTAGAAATCCACTAGGTGAAACATCATTATCTCATTGTCTGTGAACAATTGTAGAGTTTAGTATAGGGCATTTGAAAATCCACTAGGTGAAACATCATTATCTCATTGTCTGTGAACAATTGTAGAGTTTAGTATAGGACTTTTAGAAATCCACTAGGTGAAACATCATTATCTCATTGTCTGTGAACAATTGTAGAGTTTAGCATAGGACATTTGAAAATCCACTAGGTGAAACATCATTATCTCATTGTCTGTGAACAATTGTAGAGTTTAGTATAGGACATTTGAAAATCCACTAGGTGAAACATCATTATCTCATTGTCTGTGAACATTTGTAGAGTTTAGTATAGGACTTTTAGAAATCCACTAGGTGAAACATCATTATCTCATTGTCTGTGAACAATTGTAGAGTTTAGTATAGGACTTTTAGAAATCCACTAGGTGAAACATCATTATCTCATTGTCTGTGAACAATTGTAGAGTTTAGTATAGGACTTTTAGAAATCCACTAGGTGAAACATCATTATCTCATTGTCTGTGAACAATTGTAGAGTTTAGTATAGGACTTTTAGAAATCCACTAGGTGAAACATCATTATCTCATTGTCTGTGAACAATTGTAGAGTTTAGTATAGGGCATTTGAAAATCCACTAGGTGAAACATCATTATCTCATTGTCTGTGAACAATTGTAGAGTTTAGTATAGGACTTTTAGAAATCCACTAGGTGAAACATCATTATCTCATTGTCTGTGAACAATTGTAGAGTTTAGTATAGGACATTTGAAAATCCACTAGGTGAAACATCATTATCTCATTGTCTGTGAACAATTGTAGAGTTTAGTATAGGACATTTGAAAATCCACTAGGTGAAACATCATTATCTCATTGTCTGTGAACAATTGTAGAGTTTAGTATAGGACTTTTAGAAATCCACTAGGTGAAACATAATTATCTCATTGTCTGTGAACAATTGTAGAGTTTAGTATAGGACTTTTAGAAATCCACTAGGTGAAACATCATTATCTCATTGTCTGTGAACAATTGTAGAGTTTAGTATAGGACTTTTAGAAATCCACTAGGTGAAACATCATTATCTCATTGTCTGTGAACAATTGTAGAGTTTAGTATAGGACTTTTAGAAATCCACTAGGTGAAACATCATTATCTCATTGTCTGTGAACAATTGTAGAGTTTAGTATAGGACTTTTAGAAATCCACTAGGTGAAACATCATTATCTCATTGTCTGTGAACAATTGTAGAGTTTAGTATAGGACTTTTAGAAATCCACTAGGTGAAACATCATTATCTCATTGTCTGTGAACAATTGAAGAGTTTAGTATAGGACATTTGAAAATCCACTAGGTGAAACATCATTATCTCATTGTCTGTGAACAATTGTAGAGTTTAGTATAGGACATTTGAAAATCCACTAGGTGAAACATCATTATCTCATTGTCTGTGAACAATTGTAGAGTTTAGTATAGGACTTTTAGAAATCCACTAGGTGAAACATAATTATCTCATTGTCTGTGAACAATTGTAGAGTTTAGTATAGGACTTTTAGAAATCCACTAGGTGAAACATCATTATCTCATTGTCTGTGAACAATTGTAGAGTTTAGTATAGGACTTTTAGAAATCCACTAGGTGAAACATCATTATCTCATTGTCTGTGAACAATTGTAGAGTTTAGTATAGGACTTTTAGAAATCCACTAGGTGAAACATCATTATCTCATTGTCTGTGAACAATTGTAGAGTTTAGTATAGGACTTTTAGAAATCCACTAGGTGAAACATCATTATCTCATTGTCTGTGAACAATTGTAGAGTTTAGTATAGGACTTTTAGAAATCCACTAGGTGAAACATCATTATCTCATTGTCTGTGAACAATTGTAGAGTTTAGTATAGGACTTTTAGAAATCCACTAGGTGAAACATAATTATCTCATTGTCTGTGAACAATTGTAGAGTTTAGTATAGGACTTTTAGAAATCCACTAGGTGAAACATCATTATCTCATTGTCTGTGAACAATTGTAGAGTTTAGTATAGGACTTTTAGAAATCCACTAGGTGAAACATCATTATCTCATTGTCTGTGAACAATTGTAGAGTTTAGTATAGGACTTTTAGAAATCCACTAGGTGAAACATCATTATCTCATTGTCTGTGAACAATTGTAGAGTTTAGTATAGGACTTTTAGAAATCCACTAGGTGAAACATCATTATCTCATTGTCTGTGAACAATTGAAGAGTTTAGTATAGGACTTTTAGAAATCCACTGGGTGAAACATCATTATCTCATTGTCTGTGAACAATTGTAGAGTTTAGTATAGGACTTTTAGAAATCCACTAGGTGAAACATCATTATCTCATTGTCTGTGAACAATTGAAGAGTTTAGTATAGGACATTTGAAAATCCACTAGGTGAAACATCATTATCTCATTGTCTGTGAACAATTGTAGAGTTTAGTATAGGACATTTGAAAATCCACTAGGTGAAACATCATTATCTCATTGTCTGTGAACAATTGTAGAGTTTAGTATAGGACTTTTAGAAATCCACTAGGTGAAACATAATTATCTCATTGTCTGTGAACAATTGTAGAGTTTAGTATAGGACTTTTAGAAATCCACTAGGTGAAACATCATTATCTCATTGTCTGTGAACAATTGTAGAGTTTAGTATAGGACTTTTAGAAATCCACTAGGTGAAACATCATTATCTCATTGTCTGTGAACAATTGTAGAGTTTAGTATAGGACTTTTAGAAATCCACTAGGTGAAACATCATTATCTCATTGTCTGTGAACAATTGTAGAGTTTAGTATAGGACTTTTAGAAATCCACTAGGTGAAACATAATTATCTCATTGTCTGTGAACAATTGTAGAGTTTAGTATAGGACTTTTAGAAATCCACTAGGTGAAACATCATTATCTCATTGTCTGTGAACAATTGTAGAGTTTAGTATAGGACTTTTGAAAATCCACTAGGTGAAACATTATTTCATACGCCAGTGATGGGTTTCCCTCCCCATAAAGGTCAGCTGGCTGATAAAAGCAAACTTCATGCATTAATGAAACACTTTTGTGTACCTCGGTAAAAACAAATGGCATTCTCAAACTGAAATATGCACTCACAACACGAAACGACGTTCTTTAGAGATAACGGTTTGATCTTTGAGCGACAAAGATCCTCCAATACTTCTCCTCTTTCATTCAAAACATGTCTTCTTCTTCTCTTTAAAGCAGGGGGAGACAAATATGGCTTTGTTAAAAAGAACGCATTTTCTGAATTATTCTAGCTATCGAAAGTAGATCTCTATATGTAGCATAAAAATGAGACAATACTGTCTTTTGTTTGGCTTCTTAAAGAAAAGAAATGTATTGGAAAACATCGTGACAACTGGAAAGATCAGTGAAAAGAGTGGTAGAGCAGACAATGAGAGATGATACTGGAAGGGCTGAAACGATGGCATGGATTGATATCATCAAGAGAGATGTTCCAGGCAGCCAAGGATCGTGATCTGTAGAGATGCATAAGAGCCTACGTTGGTTGGCAGGCACGGTACGAGCTAGACCATGCTCAGTCTTTCAGCCTCCTCAAATGTTCCTAAAGGAGTGTGTATTATAGATGCTGACATTCACAGCCTTCGACACTCCATCTGTCCACAGCTAGCGTGGCCCTCCTCTTGTTCCTCTTTCAGTTTATCTTAGTGATGGTGCTCTCTGCGCTGCAATACCTGTTTGTAGTCTTGACAAATGTTCGAATCATTTTATCTTTGGTCTCGATGAAGTTTAGTTCTGCTTCAGTCCCATCTGGTTTTCTGATATCCTCAGTTCTGATTCTGTCTGTGTCTCGCATGGCATGGCGGAGTCAAGAATACAATGCATTCAGAGACTCTACTGACAATAAATGTTTATCTAAGACTGTCCTAGCTAATCGCCATGTCACATGATACTGATTATGAAGTGTGCAATTCTGTTCTCTGTGGTTTCGATTGAATGTTTTCTCCAGCGTTTTTTGTTATTAAATTACTGAGCTCTAAAGTCAGTCAAATGCGAGATATCTAACCGCCTTTGCTTCACTCAAACACAGTTTATACTGAACACAACCCAGCTGCAAGGAGTCACATATACGTTCGACGCACTGAGAGCTATTCGTGAGCAGGGTTACCTCAGTTTGCCATCAAAAGGTTCCCGTCCAGGAGAAACCAGGATCCTTGTCGTTCTTACGGACGGCAACTCGGACAACATCACCAAAAGTGAGGCTAATATTGTGTCAGTGATTGTTACACTATTGGGTGTAAAATATAACGGATTTACACACACTTTACTATATATATGTGTTAATATAAGTGATGTATGAAAACTACACAAATGCCTGAGTGTATGCGATTTGTGAAAACGTTACTAAACATGTGTCTAAATGTAAGTGTTTTATGAAAACGTTTCTATACATGCGCCTGGATATACCTAGGTTATGAAAATGTTACTACACATTTGTCTTAATATAAGTGATTTATAAAAACGTTACTACATCATCATCATCATACGGTGCCTTGCTGACTGGCGTGGGCGATCAATCCTCTTCACAATCTGCGATCTCCTGCAGTTTGTATCAGTTCGTGTGCCGATACACCTCTATGCCATGCAACAAGACTGTCAAGCATCTTCTCTCGTTAAGTTCCTCTATCTCTCCTTCCACAGATCTTTTTAGTGGACACAACATTTTCTATTTTTCCCCTTTTCATAATATGACCGAAAAATGAAGACGGTCTCCTTCTGATGTCTCTGATAAGTTGTCTTCGGACTCCCGCCTCTTTCAAAACCTCTTTTTTGCTCTTTATTGGCTGTCCAAAGTATTCTAAGCATTCTTCTGTAAAACCACATCTCTGAGGCCTCAAGAAATTGTTTGGCCTGCCTACCTATGGTCCAGGATTCACAGCCATATGTTAAAACTGGATGTATGTATCAAGCAAGAATTCTTTTTCTAACTCTCAATGACAAAGATATATTGCACAAGGTTTTTGCCTGTCCTATTCTGTTTCTTATCTCAGTTATGCATCTTCCATCTGATGTTATCCATGTGCCCAGATACTTAAATTTCTTTACTTGACCTAAAATAACACCATCGACTTTTATTACACATTTAGAAATAATTTGTTTCTTTGGTGCCACCATTACTTCTGTCTTATCATTATTCAAACTGAGGCACATTCTTCCACTTTCTATAACAACGATGTCTATCATTTCCTGTAGTTCTTTCTGACTTGTTGCTATCAAGACTGTGTCATCAGCATAACGTAAATTGTTTATACTGTGCCAAACAACCACAATTCCGGGCATATAAAGCAAAGATCTCATTATATATTCACTGTATATTGAAAACAAATCAGGTGACAGTACACATCCTTGTCGTACACCCCTCTTTATGCTTTAAAATGTACCTAAATTGTTATTAATTCTTATAGCTGCTGTTTTCTACCAATACATATTCTTTATTATTCGTAGATCTTTCCCATCAATGTTCAATTTTCCTAACAGTTTGATTACTTTTTCATGCTTTACACACTACATATGTGTGTAATTATAAGTGATTTATGAATATGTTACTACACATGTGTCTTGGCATTAGTGAATTATGAAAATGTTGCTACACATGTGTCTTGGCATAAGTGATTCATGAAAACGTTACTACACATGTGTCTTGGCATAAGTGATTCATAAAAACGTTACTACAAACGTTTGTTAAGTTATGAGTTATGTTTTATGATGTGGGTTATCTTCGGGACACTTCAGACACGTCATTAGTTGCTCAGATTCGCCCTACGACATCTACATCAGCGTCCTGTGGTTAATAGTCTCGACCTATGTTGCTTGACAAGATTTCCCGTGCGTCCGGTGTGCTTCTCGTGCCTGGCTGTGATGATCTTTACTCACATTTCTTGCACAATTAGCAAAGATGTGCTTGTGCTGCTCCCAAAATCCTCCGAACGTCATACCTCTCTAATGACATTAACAATGTCTGCATGATCCATGAGTAACTAAGGCAGAGCCGGCTAATCTGTCAGCTGTGTCATTTCCAACAACACCCGCTTACCCTAAGACAAAGAATAGGTTAACTCCACGCACAGTGTTTCGCAATGACTCGATCCAAGGTCTGCGTACAAAGCCCGATTCTACTCTCGTGATCTTGCTAATGGAACCACTCAGCACACACACGCAAGAATAGCTCTAGGATGCTAGCTACACAAAAGCTCGTGTTATCGCCATCACCTCCATTGTCATGCTGCTAGTATTCCTGCAGGAGGCAGCACTGGCCTCCTGGATTGTTCAGCCTTCGGAGCATGCAGTAAATGCCCATGCACATTTTTTGGTCCTACATGCGTGTGCAAATACGAATGATTTATAAAAACACCACTACACATGTGATAATAGTAACTCGAAAGATTATCCACATTGCACATCGGACAGATCCGTAAGCGCTCGGATCCCATCTTCAGTATATACCTCAGTTTGTGGCGACTGATAACACCAGTTCTATGTTGGTTTACTATTCTTCTTTGGCTACCTTATAGTGTTAATGTTTGCAGACACATTTTTTCTTTACCTGAATGTTTTGTAATCTTTCGAGTGTAGCCGATTCAAACTCCTCTCTGGAATCATCGTCTGGTCCTGCCTCCCTGAGAGCATTGAGAATGTCAGCTCAGTCCATTGATTGTCCTGTACCTACCCTGACCTTGCCAGCAAGCCAATCCGCTCGTTCATTTATTCATGTGTGTGCACATTTTTTTAAACGTTAGTTGCGTATCCTTTACAGGACGTTGCAGAACCAACACCAACAGCCCCTGGCTGTTGTGTGGTTTTTCTAGGCAAATTTACGTAAAGTAGTTTGCCATTGCTTTCTGGACGATCAGCTTTCTTGATACCACTGTCGAAACCAACGCAGGACGAATGGCCTGCGGCTGGGATCGAACCCGGCATTCCGGCATTAAGAAGCAGTCCCATCGACTTAGCCACAGAGTCGACGTGTGCAAATATAGTGATTTATATGATCGTTACTATATTTGTGTGTACAATTAATGATATAAACAACTGTTGATATAGAATGTAAAAAAAAATTAACAATTCATAAAGAAATTAAGATACGTGTGTACACATAAATGAATAATACAATTGCGACTATACGAGTCGTAAATTTAGTTGATTTACAGAAGCCACACAATTTTGGGGAAGTAGGAAGAGCAGTTCTGTCACTCTAGCAAGTTTTAAATACACTATTTGAGGATTTTTCTTCTAAGTGGAAGAGCATCTCTTTTCGAACAAACAAACAACAAAAAAAAAAAAAAAAAAAAACAGTCTGCAAACAAATAAGATAGAGCTGTAAAATGGATGTGCACATAAAACCTAAGCTCTGGCTGGTTCAAGACCAAAGAAGTGGCTGAACAACCAGAACTTGCCTCTAGTTTTTCTTCTTCAGGATTGCAGTCTCCAGGGTAAACATGGCAAGGATGAAAATCAAATAGGCACTCATCCAGGGTACAGTTCAACCCCACATCCGTGTAACACATTGACACTGACGCTCCCCAAAACTGTCACCAAGTAATCTGTAGTCTCTTGTGGGGTGGGTTCGAGTTCTTGTCAGAGCTTACATCCAGTCAATGAAAATAAGAAAAAGACGCAGACGACGACGAAGAAGAAAAAGAAGAAGATGATGACATATGGGTACCAGAGTATGTTATAGGACATCAATGAGGCCGGCGTGTAGTTCACTAATCATAAGGGCCGTGTTATTAGTTTATAGAAATACGAGTCGACACGATGTGTGGTATGAAAATAATAACTGGCGTTTAAATGTCTTGTACTTTTGATGTGGTTTCTTGTCGAAAACTGTCTTCCATCAATCAACTTGTCCCTCTATATACCCCACGCAGCCATCCAGGAATCGGACGCACTCAGGCGGGAGCAAGGGATCCGGATCATTGTTATCAGCGTGGGCCTGGTCAACCAAGTGGAGTGTATCGGTATCGCGGGTTCTGAGAAGAATGTCTTCAGCGTGACCGCCTTTGGTGGCCTTGAAGCTATCAGAAGCCAGATCACTCTAAGAGTCTGCTACGGTAAATACTGGCTTGCCTTGATAACATAACAGTCACACACAAACACAAACATACACACAGAATAACACACTAACACACACACACACCGACACAGACACACAGAGCCACACAAAAAAAAACACTGACACACACACAGACACTTAAACAGTTACAATGACACACATAGACAAACACAGACACTTACACTGGCACACACGGACACACACACAGACACACACACACAGACACACACAGATACACACACAGACACACACACAGACACACACACAGATACACACACAGACACACACACATAGAAACATACACACAGATGCTGAAACCTTCCGCTCAGTTAAGCCCTCGCCCTTTTTGTCTCCTCCCCCTTTAACCCCCTTACCATACCACATCCGCAAATTCTGGATGGACGGAACCCTGAATGTGCAAGAGGGGTGAGTGGTTCACCCCCCTCCCTTTTCCGCCCCAACCCCAAACACATGAGGTTCACTTTAAAGTGTTTCTTTATAAATTTCTGTGATTGTAAATTTACGAATATATCTAGCTGCAATTTAGTATATAATAACACATACCGATACACACACAAATACGCACACTCAGATATATATATATATATAGTGTGTGTGTGTGTGTATGTGCATACATTTTTAATCCATCTGTTGTGAAACGGTTTAGTTACATTATATATATATATATATATATATATATATATATATATATATATATATATATATATATATATATACACACACACACGCACACACACATGCGCGACCAGCATGATGTTCACCATATTACCCTAAGAGTGCCGTTTGGACACCAAACAATTTAGGTCTAGCCTTGTGTGCCCAATACGCATGAAGACCTAAAAAGGGGCCTTTACTGTCCTGTACTGATTACAAATGGGCGTTAGATGCAATGATGCATGTTTCTTTGATGTCAGGGTTTTATAACATACTTTATATAGGTTGTTCTTAGTACCATTGACGAACCAGAAGTGCCAACATTGTCAACACAACAAGGTGTCCCTCATATACTAATCAACGGTTTTCGTTTCTTGGTCACACGACACAGAAGCACTCCAATATTTAATGATAGTGTGGGATCAAGATAGCTTCTAGTGTAAGACAACATGTGAACAACATGCATGCACGGAGCTGGCCAAACTAGCAACAAATAGTAGATAACTATAGCCTTGCTTTTAATGACCTAACTAATTGTTGTGTACTGATTGCCTAAATTTACCTTACTAATTGTTGTGTACTGATTGCTTTAATTTACCTTACTAATTGTTGTGTACTGATTGCTTTAATTTACCTTACTAATTGTTGTGTACTGATTGCCTTACTTTTTTTTACCTAACTAATTGTTGTGTACTGATTGTCCTACTTTATTTACCTAACTAATTGTTGTGTACTGATTGTCCTACTTTATTTACCTAACTAATTGTTGTGTACTGATTGTCCTACAAAATTTACCTAACTAATTGTTGTGTACTGATTGTCCTACTTTATTTACCTAACTAATTGTTGTGTACTGATTGTCCTACTTTATTTACCTAACTAATTGTTCTGTACTGATTGTCCTACTTTATTTACCTAACTAATTGTTGTGTACTGATTGTCCTACAAAATTTACCTAACTAATTGTTGTGGACTGAATGCCTTACTTTATTTACTAAACTAATTGTTGTGTACTGATTGTCCTACAAAATTTACCTAACTAATTGTTGTGTACTGATTGTCCTACTTTATTTACTAAACTAATTGTTGTGGACTGAATGCCTTACTTTATTTACCTTGCTAATTGTTATGTACTGATTGTCCTACTTTATTTACCTAACTAATTGTTGTGTACTGATTGTCCTACTTTATTTACCTAACTAATTGTTGTGTACTGATTGCCTTACTTTATTTACCTTGCTAATTGTTATGTACTGATTGTCCTACTTTATTTACCTAACTAATTGTTGTGTACTGATTGTCCTACTTTATTTACCTAACTAATTGTTATGTACTGATTGTCCTACTTTATTTACCTAACTAATTGTTGTGTACTGATTGTCCTACTTTATTTACCTAACTAATTGTTGTGTACTGATTGCCTTACTTTATTTACTAAACTAATTGTTGTGTACTGATTGCCCTACTTTATTTACCTTGCTAATTGTTATGTACTGATTGTCCTACTTTATTTACCTAACTAATTGTTGTGTACTGATTGTCCTACTTTATTTACCTAACTAATTGTTGTGTACTGATTGCCTTACTTTATTTACCTTGCTAATTGTTATGTACTGATTGTCCTACTTTATTTACCTAACTAATTGTTGTGTACTGATTGCCTTACTTTATTTACCTAACTAATTGTTGTGTACTGATTGCCTTACTTTATTTACCTTGCTAATTGTTATGACTCCTTCTCTGTTTCAGAACCAGAACCAGAGCCAGGTAACGATATTGTTGAGGAAAGTTGTCTCAGTCGAAATAATGGCTGGCATAAGATTACATACCTGTGTTGGGAGACAGAGGGTTGTGGTCCTCATTACAGTAGATGACACACCTGTGTTGGGAGAGAAAGGGTTGTGGTCCTCATTACAGTAGATGACACACCTGTGTTAGGAGAGAGAGAGGGTTGTTTTC